GCCCATATTTGTCTCAGTCCCTGGCAACAGCAAACACTGACTGTGAATTCCAGTTACAGGGGTTTTGCTACCCTCTACTGGCCTCTGATGGCACTGCATACATGTAGAATAAATACACTCAGGCAAAACACTCATACACATAAATAATCACAAAAAGGAAAAATAAATAATTGGGACTCTGGGAAGGAATGCTTGCTTCTTCCCACAATAGAAATCTCTCCATTGGCCCTTACTTCTTAGGGTCCCAGTGGTTGTCTACCATAGTCTTCATGTTGTAGACCAGGCTGGCCTCACACTCACAGAGCTTTGCCTGCCTCGGACTCCAAGTGCTGGCATTAAAGGCATGCGCTGCCGCCGCTGCCATGCTCCACCACAGAGTCTTCAACTGCACTTGGCCCAGCTGGTGTCCAGATCACTTCATGAGTTAGGTGACCATGACCACTTGTGCTGTGGAGGGTTAATAGTATTCCTAAGTGTTGGTATCAATCCAAACACATTTATTTACAGCAACTGAGATGAACCCAGAGCCTTGTGTCTCACCATGCAGCTCTGGCTAGCCCCAGAATCGCTATGTAGCCCTGGCTGGCTTCGAACTCATAGAGAGCTGCTTGCCCGTACCTCCTGAGTGCTGAGATTAAAGTCATGCACTAACTACCACACCAGGCTCTGAATCACAGGTTTTTTGTTGTTGTTTTTTGAAGACAGGGTTTCTCTGTGTAACAGTCCTGGCTGTCCTGGAACTCACTGCCTCTGTCTCCCAAGTGCTGATATTAAAGCCGCCACCACCTGGCCGCAATGTGCATTCTTAACTGCTGAGCCATCATCTCTCCTGCCCTGCTTAGTTTTCTGGTTCCATAACCAGTGTTGGGCATCAAGATCCGACCCTTGACTTCTTTGGCCTTTTTTTTTTTTTTTTTGACAATCTAGGGCTCCACCAGGTCTGAGGGCAGCTTCTGTAGCAGGCCTAGGGTTGTCCCCACGCCAGTGCTGAGTGACAAAGTCCCACAGAGGCTGAGGCCACCCATTTGGAGACCAGGCCACACTAAGACCTTGGAGGAGCAATGGAAACTCACTCAAGAGTTTTCTTGACAACACAAAAATAAAACATCCATGGAACCCACTCAATACATCCTCAACCCCACCTACCCTCCATCCCCCAACTCCCCACCCTCACCCCCCACCAACACACACACACACACACACACACACACACACACACCTCTAAAATGACAGCAAGTGGTCAGGATATTGTCTCTATCAAAGAGAGGAGTAATGGTGTTGTGGAATGTTGACCGTGTCTATAAGTGCTTTATTTGTGACCTGTAGAAAGAAAACAAATGAAATCAGGATTCAAGAGTTAGGGAGGGTGGGAACACATCCCATAGGTGGGGCAATTGCCTAGCATAAGGATCTAAGTTCAATTCCCAGTACTTCAAAGTCAGACAAACAGCCCTGTCAAGTCCAGGCCAGTCTCCCTAGCCACTTGCAGCCCACCGCGGGTAGTAGGGTTGAGAGCCGAAGCTTTAGGGCATCCGGTGCCCTGCCAATAGCTGTCCCATACCACCGTCCTCAGGCTCCGCTGAGCCACTCCCTCCCCTTTGCTTCACTTGCAACTTAGAACACAGCGCACTCTAGTGGCCACAAGAGGTTTTTCGTTTAGTTTTGTCTCTGTAGCCCTGGCTGTCCATTAACTCACTCTGTAGACCAGGATGACCTGGAACCCAGAGATCCACCTGTGTCTGTGTCCTGAATGCAAAGACTAATGGTCTGCAGCACGACACCCAGCTTTGTTTAGTGTATTTGAGACAGGATCTTACTATACATCTGATGGGCTGTGTTTGGTCGAGTGTCTCTAGCCATTGTTCTCAACAACCTCCAAAGGCACACGTGCCTATGCGGGGTTTCCAAGGGAGGGCTCTGAGACTTGCTCAAGCACTCTGAAGATGAGCATATTCAGAATAGTCTTTGTTGTTCTATAGAGCACACTAGAATATCACAGCACATTAATTCAGCCAACAACTATGGTTGCACCACCTTTTATGTATGGACACTTAACAAAACAGAACTCTATACTCACGGAGCGACCCCATGTCGGGGGAGGCCCGTTCTCCTTACATAAAATAGAGATATGCACAGAGGGAGCTTTGTCTTTGGCACTTCAAATCGAAGAGAGGCAGCAGTGACATCTCTGTGAACGTCTGAGGGAACAATGCCTGTCCCAGGCGGGAACCAGTCGGGGTTGAGTTGTGACAGTGGAGCATCTGGTTTATTCCTGCTCAGAAGTTGCTGTGGCCGAGGCAGAGAGAAAATGAGGTCAGACAGGAGAGGGAGGGGCTCAGGCTCCAAGGGAGGAGGCCGCACTGGAGGAAGGCGGGAGCCATGGCAGGGAGTATCCTGAGGAACAACATTGTCTGGGTGCACGGCATCAACTGTTTTGCTCACAGAGTTTAGTGGGCGTGGGTCCACAGAGCAAACTCCACCATGAAGCCTTTGCAGTCCGCCCGTGATCCACAGTTGGAAACAGCATTGGAGCTGTCCTCAGAGATGTACTGAACCTCAAGGACAAAGACGGGACAATCCTCCTCAGATTAACTGCATTCCTATGCCGAGTCAACCAAGTGGCCAAGTGGCTCACTTGGCCGGCTTAGAGATTTCTAGTAGGCTCCATGCAACAGCCAGGATCACACTCCAGCGGGACCTGTCTGCACCTCTAATTACTTCATAGTTTTCTCATTTTGAGCTTTATCCCTTGCTCTCCTTACTGGGAAAATGAAACTCAGGGCCTCATACATTAAATCCCTAGATACTATCACTGAGCTACAGTCGCAGCTTTTATCCTTATTGGAAGCGTATTGGGTGTTAAACAGGCTTTTTTGTTTTTATTGTTTGTTTTTTATAGCCTAGGCTGCTTGCAAAATTCCCATCTTCCTGCCTTGGCTCCTGTACCATCATGGCCAAACCCAGCAAGATGTGTTAGATTCAAGTGGCTTGTAAATCATGTCAAATTTCTGCTGTATACTGAAGCTCTACTCATAAAGGGAAACTCATATCACAGTCAGTTTTCTTTTTTTTTTTTTTTTTTTTTTTTTTTGGTTTTTCGAGACAGGGTTTCTCTGTGGTTTTGGAGGCTGTCCTGGAACTCGTAGTCCAGGCTGGTCTCGAACTTACAGAGATCCGCCTGCCTCTGCCTCCCGAGTGCTGGGATTAAAGGCGTGCGCCACCAACGCCCAGCTCACAGTCAGTTTTCTAAGGTCACTCAGGCCTTCTCTGGCAAGACCAAGACCGTATCCCACAGGCCGCCGCTCTCATTTCCGCCCCTTTCAACACAGCCTTTGTTACCTCTGGGAAGACACTGCCACCCTGAATGTTGACACCTGACTGCTCCAAGACCACACAATTTAACCTCCAGAGCCTCCATGTGGGGACACCCTAAGAGCCCCTTCAAACTGGCTTGGCTTCTGCCTCTAAAAGGAACTTGGTATTAGTTCTTGTGAAGGGGACCCACAGAAGCCCATTAGCACCCCACATGCAGATGGGTAAGCGGTGTGACACAGCAGTGCAGCAGAAGGGACCCACAAGCAAACTCAGCGTGCACACTTCGGGGACAGTCAGGATGGTGGCCTGTCTAATCACCAGTAAAAGGTGCACCTGCCTGGGAGTTGCTCAGGACTGCTCACACACCCGCGCTGACTACAGCAGGGCACAACCAGAGCACTGTCAACCTGAGAGAACAACCAGACCTTTGTGGTGACGCATGCCTTTAATCCCAGCACTCGGGAGGCAGAGGCAGCTGGATCTCTATGAGTTCGAGGCCAGCCTGGTCTATGGAGCGAGTTCCAGGACAGCCTCCAAAACAATACAGAGAAACCCTGTCTCGAAAAACCAAGAAAAAAACAAAACAAAACAAAACAAAACAAAAGGAAAGGTCACTGGCCAGGCACTCTACCTTGACAACAGAAATTCTTCAGGTATGCCTGCCCAACTGGCATGCTAGTACAAAGAACATTTAATCTCACAAAGCAGACTCTGTAAAATCTAAAGGTCTGCACTGCTGTGGGATATTTGATCACACTGTGCTACCCCAAGACCGTTAATAAAGTTAACCTTGAGTTGGGGGTGGAGCCAGTGGCTAGCCGACTGGCATTAGGCATAGAGAAGCCAAGAAAATGGATAGGGAAGACACACAGGAAGGAGTAGGGAGGGACTTAGAGGTTTTGCAGCCTCTTCCATCTGGGAAGTGTGGAGAGGTCAACTGGGGAGGAATACGAAGCCACAGCAAGCGTCCAGGGAAGGGAAGCATATGATGCTTTACTGGGGAGAAGCCCCTCGCATGAGGAGCCGAGGGCTACAGACACGTGATCTCTCCCTGCAGGCCGCTCCTTCACCACTTCTCTGAACTATCGGGTTTTCACCCCATGTTTGACCCCCAAGCCTTTATTGGTACTAGAACTTAGATAAACAGATCACAGCACCCACAATTTTTTCTGGGGGGTGCTGTCTTGTCTTGCTATGTTGACAAAGCTAGCCCTTCAGTACCAGGTATTACTAAGTGCAAGCCACCATGCCTGGCCCGTTCAAATGTCCTTTCACGGTTTGAATAGTCACATGGTCTGAAAGGAGGGCTCAGCCACCCACACTAGACAAATGATCTTCCCTAGACAATAGGAATATCTCTCAGGTTCCCTGCTGTGCAGCAGAGCTGATGGCGTCTAGGCTGCTCCTCTAGAGCCATAATCTAGAAACTCCACATGTGTGCAAAGTGGGGATCCAAGGCTTCCAGACCCCTCGACCAGGCAACTTTGTCTTAGAGACTCATTTCGGCTGCATCATAGAAACAGGACAACCATGGGACAAAAATGTGTGGGTGGGAGTAAGGGGAACAATAACAGACTTGGTGACTTAGGGAAGCACAGTCACACGGTGGGATGTATACCTGTAAATTTCCCAGAAGGAGAGAAAAATGTTAGGATGGAGGAGGGGGAATGTGAAGAAACAACAGCTTAATTTTTTTCCAAATTTAATTAATGGCATAAATTTACAAAGTTCACCAAACTCCAAGGTTAAAAAAATCAGTAGACAACATCTAGGCACATCTGAAAACAGCCCCCAAAAGAACACATTATGATAGAAAAACTGTGCGACTCAACACCAACTTGTCATCAGAGACAGGGACCAGATGATAACGACGGCGAGACAGATTAGACACAAGTGAGAGACAATGCATGCTGTGTGTAGGAGCCCAGTGTAGAAAATAAATGCACAGAAAACACACGCTATGAAAACAAGAGCAAAGGCTGCAGGCTACACTTGAGATAAATACATGGTGAACAGGAAACTAACGCAGAGACGAAGGGAACTGTCCAATATATACTACAGCAGTGAAACCTAACAATAGCTTCAAAAATAAAGTAAAAACATTACAATTACAGAAGTAGGAATGGGTGGACATGATCAAGATACACTGTATATAAATGTGAAAAAGTCAAAGGCGAAATAAAAAACCCAAAACCAACTAGAACAAGACATTTTAAGGCAATGCAGAAACTCGTATGCATGGAATATCACTGAATTAATACATAATCAATCACTTAACAAATGCTAAGACAATTCCAATCATAATCGAGATTCTAATGTTCTCTCTTAGTTCCTTGTGAAAACAAACGAGCAGAGACAGATCGTAGGAATAATCCTACCAACCATTCACATAACCACTATTCCAGAACATTCCCCTGCCAGTTGAGTGCATGTGTAGTCCTGGCACTCTATAGACCAGGCTGGCCTCGAACTCACAGAGATCCGGCTGCCTCTGCCTCCCGAGTGCTGGGACTAAAGGCGTGCGCCACCACTGCTGTGTTTGTTTTTTTTTTTTCAATAGTATACAGCAAGGCATTTTCTGACCTGAATAGTCAGTATCAGTAAGACATTTAGAAAAAACAAACATTTGCTAATTGGACAATTTACTTTAAAAAAATAAATAAAAGAAAAATCTACAATCAGTGATCTAAAGGAGCTAAAGAAAGTTGAGTAAAGAAAACCCAAGGTACATAGAAGAGGAAACAAAAAGCAAATGCCAATGAGGCTGGTGACAGAACAATTCACAAACAAAACAAAATAGACCCCTAGATGGAATAAACCCCAGTGAGAGAGAGGCCTGGGAGCAGCTAGGTCCCATCCCTGGTAGTACACAGACACTCAGTACTGGATAGAGAGAGAAGTTTTTGCCATGAGTGGTGAATAACTGTTTCCAAAAATAAATTTCCTGAAAACACCACCAAAGTGACACAATATAAAACCAAAGAAATTTATAAGCCCCTGACAAAGCAGATGCAGTGGTCATGGCTGAGACAGGATCACTGCAAAAAGGATCACTGCAAGTTTGAGACCAAGCTGAACTACAACGTTGTTTGTCAGTCCAGACTGCAGAGTGAGTCTCCATCAATTTTTAATTTGTTTGTTTTTCTCTGTGTAGCCCTGGAACTTGGCTATGAGTCTCTCTCAAAAACACCAAAAAGAAAGTAAAATAACCTACAAAGTTTTCTTCCTCCGATGAAAACCTCAAGCCCAGGTATTAATGAAGAGACTAGTTACTAGTGAGTTATTAAAAACTGGCTTTTAGTATCAACAGAAACATTGGCCACGCGTCCACATCAAGTCAGAGGAAGTGTCGAAATCATGAGAGCTCTGAGGGAAATTCACTTCTTCTTCCCTCTTGAAGGCTTGGCAAACAGAGCTGGGTCGATGTGCTCCTTTGCCAGGCCCCTGACAGAGAAGAGCCTGGCTGCACGCTCCTGCAGGGTGCCCCCACACTTCAGTCCAAGGCCCATCAGTTCACACTTGAGTCTCTCCAAACCCAGCGACTCCAACTCGGCTGCGGAGCTGAATGTTAGCAGATCCACAGCTTCCCGCCCGAGAGCCTGCCGGGAAAAGGAGACAATTAAAGACGCCCTTCCTCTCAATGAAGACTACAATTACCAGCTACATCCTATTTCCAATGAGGGGCTAGTTACTGTGCCACCACCCAGCTGTTGACCTGCCATCTAGACCCCATTCCATATGCAGTCTGATACACACAAAAAGCTAATTTCTTATCCATACTTGGCATCTATTTTTGACTTTTAAGACAAGGTCTTGCTATGTGGCCTGGTCTCAAACGTTCAGTAATATTCCTGCCTCTGCCTCACAAATGCTGGGATATTATGCTGGTGTATACCACCAGTCCCAGTTTGGAACACTCTTTTTTTTTCATTTTTATTTTTTCTTTTTCCTGTTTTTCAAAACAGGGTTTCTCTGTGTAGCCATAGCTATCATGGAACTAGCCCTGCAGAGATTCAGAGTCTGAGATTAAAGACACGAGCCAACACTCCCACTTGGAACACATTTGTTTTTTAATAAAAATTATTTATAGGGAGGGTGGGAGGGAGAAGGGATTGGGATTAGTATTAATATAACATTGTTTTAAGCCAGGTGATGGTGGCGCATGCCTTTAATCCCAGCACTCGAGAGGCAGAGGCAGCCAGATCTCTGTGAGTTCCAGACCAGCCTGTCTATAAGAGCTAGTTTCAGGAGAGCCTCCAAACCCTGTCTAGGAAAAAAAAAAAAAAAAAAAAAAGAGGGAGACTGTTTTAGTTTAAGTAAACATCAATTTTAAAAGTTATCTTTATCTTATGTACAATGGTGTTTTGCCTGCATGCACGTCCGGGTGAGGGTGTCAGATCCTCGGCTCCTCTCCTGCTCCACCTGCCCTCTTCTCTTCTCTCCTCTCTTAAGCCCCCACAATGGCCCTGTTCAATAAAATCTTTCTCCTCAACAACCAAGCAAATAAACAAACCACTAAAAAACAAACAAGCAAACAAGCCCCAAAGCTAAGAAGGCATGGTGATGCACACCACTATGCCAGCGCTTGGGAGCAGTAGACGGAGCTCTGTGATTTAGGCCAGAGTGGTCCACACAGGTAGTTCCAGGCCTGCTGGGTTATATTGTGAACCGGTCTTAAAACAAACAACAACAAAAGGAGCTAGAAGTGAAGCCATGTCTTAGAATTCATGAAACATGGCATCAAAGACACCACCTAGTGGTGAACAGTGTAACTCCAGAGCTTGCAGGGGAACAGGCTTCACATCTGCACTATTTAGGATTAAATGAGCTGTTGGAGAGGAGGCACATCTTTGAAAACACACAGTGGATTACTTGTGATCATAGATTTGGAAGGCTGAGAAGGATTGCTGAGTTCAAGACAGCCTGAACTACAGGGTGAGTTCCAAGCCAATCAGAGAAATGAGACCCTATCTCAAAACAAAACAACTAAACTAAACATGGGCTGCAGAGATGGGTGGCTATGTGGTTAAGGGTACTGGTTGCTCTTCCAGAGGCCCTGGCTTTGATTCCCAGTGCCTATGAGGTAACTCACAGTCATCTGTAACTCCAGTTCCACTGGATCCAATGCCCTCTTCTGGCCTCCACCGGTAACAAGCAGGCTTGTTTCATGAAGACATACAAGCAGGCAGAACATCCATTCACATAAAATAATAATAATTTGAAAAGAAATAGAAAGGGCTGGGTTGGTGGCACATGCCTATAATCCCAGTGTTGGAGAGGTACAGGTGGGAATATCATCTTTCGTTTGGGGCCAGCCTGGTCTACACAACAAGTTCCAGGTCACCAAGAGTTATATATAGATAATAGACACACGCACACACACGCGCGCACGCGTAATTTTTTTTTCATATGTAATTTTCTTAAAGGGAAAACAAAACCAAACCAACATACTGTGTCTCCTGAGTGGCCTCCCTCCAGGTCAGCAATGGGAACACTTTCCCCATTTTTTCCAGAGACAGCCATGGCAGCACTGTCCCCACGAGGCACTCCTCCCTCCTGGTCCTTCTGTGTTGGTGTGGGACCCTCTGTCTCCTTTGCTACAGTCGCTTCTGTTTCTGTGTCCATCTTCCTTTCACTGTGCTCCCTGGCACACGTCTCTCCCAGCTCAGTTTGTGTGTTCTCCAAAATGTCCTGCCTGGGGTCAGGGTCAGGCATGGTTTTCTGAAGCTTCTCCGGCGACTTGGAATGTGTGCTCAATCCTGAGCTCTGAGGACTGCAAGGACAGTCAGCCGCCACCTCAACACCATCACTACCACTTTCTGGAGCACAGCAGCTCAGCCCCGAAGTACCAGGGGCGTCGTCACTGTCGTCATCATCTGAGCTTCCAGCACTGGAGCCCTCAGCAGCCTCCAGTCCTTCCATGCCCAACCTGTGGGAAACAGCAGAAAGGTGCGCCATCATTTCCAACCTGTACCTCCTAAAAGTGCGGGCTGCCTGGAGATGGCGAGTAAGTAAACTTCAGGAAGTGTATCCAGAGGTGTAATTAGAAGGGACTGCTTCAGCTATGTAAAACCCAACAGGAGGGCCATGCTCTTATTGGAGTGCTCTCCCTCGGTACACATGCTCTGCCTGGAATACTTTCTTAGTTCCTTCTTTTTTAAATGATGATTCTTTTAAAACTATGCTTGAGGGACTGGAGAGATGGCTCAGAGGTCCTGAGTTCAATTCCCAGCAACCACATGGTGGCTCACAACCATCCATAATGAAATCTGGTGCCCTCTTCTGGCCTGCAGGGATACAGGCAGGCAGAACACTGTATACATGATAAATAAATCTTTAAAAAACAAAATAAAATTCTGCTTGAGATTTTCCCTCAAGCATATTAATTCCAACTGTTGACAATTAGAAAAGCCTTGGGTCTGAGGATGGCGCTCAGTGGTAGAATGCTTGCTTAGCATGTGTGAGGCCCTAGGTTCTACTCCCAGTACCAGCAAGAAAGAAGGAGAACACCCTATGCTTTAGTCATAATTTCTGTGCTGGGTAGTTTTATATCATCAATTTGACAAAGCTAAAGTCATCTGAAAGGAAGGGACCTTAATTAAGAAAATGCCTTCATAAGACAGGGCTGGAAGACAAACCTGCAGGGCATTTTCTTAATTAGTGATTGATGGGAAGGGCCCAGCCCATTGTGGATAATGTTATGCCTGGGCTGGTGGCCCTAGGTTCCATAAGAAAACACACTGGCAGGGCAGTGGTGGCGCACGCCTTGAATCCAGCACTCAGGAGGCAGAGGCAGGTGGATCTCCGTGAGTTCGAGGCCAGCCTGGTCTACAGAGTGAGTTCCAGTTCCAGGACAGCCTCCAAAGCTATAGAGAAACCCTGCTCAAAAGAAAAAAACAAACAAACAAACAAACAAACTTGGGGAAAAAATGACAAAGGCTATTTGTTATACGATGTTTCACTATGAAAGGAGAAAAGCTGTCCTTTCGAGTGCTGGGAAAATAGCTCAGTTTGGTAAAGGTCTGACATACACATACAATGATGAGGACCTGAGTTCAGAACCCCACACCCATGTAAAAAGCCAGGGTAAGTAGAAGCATCTGAAATTCCAGCACAGGGGCGGAGTAGGAAATAGAGACAGGAGGATCCCTGGCACTCGCTGGTTAGCAAATCTAACCAAACAGATGAGTTCCAAGTTCAGTGAGGGACCCTATCAAAAAGAGATGGAGGGGGCTGGAGAGATGGCTCAGAGGTTAAGAGCACTGGCTACTCTTCCAGAGGTCCTGAGTTCAATTCCCAGCAACTACAAGATGGTTCACAACCACTTATAATGAGATCTGGTACCCTCTTCTGACCTGCAGGGATACATGCAAACAAAATGCTTTATACATAATAAATAAATAAATCTTTTTTAGAGATGCAGCGGAGGAAGACATCAATGCTTACCTCTGGCCTCCATGCACATGAGCATGGTCAAGTGCACACACATACACAAACCATGCACGAAACCTTATCATTCAGATTTGGTGGAATGTTGTCCACAGCAGAAAACACTAGTGAGGTGCACAGGGTGCCGGTCAACTAAACCTAAAGACTGAAGCACTCTGCAAATGAGCTCCCATCAATGCTACTTAAAAACGTGCTTGTTCAAGCCCTGGGTGTGGTGGCCCATGTTGGTGATCTGTGATGCAAGCAGCAGGCTGATGCAAGAGAATCCCAAGGTGGAAGGGTGGCCTGGCAGACAGAGCAATGCACTTACAAATGTATACACAATTGTGCTAACAGACAAGATGGGAACATCAGCCGGGCGGTGGTGACACATGCCTTTAATCCCAGCACTCTGGACGGAGAGGCAGGCAGTTCTCTGAGTTCGAGACCAGCCTGGTCTACAGAGAAAGTTCCAGGACAGCCTCCAAAGCCTCAGAGAAACCCTGTCTCGAAAAACAAAACAAAACAAAAAAGATGGAAATACTATACGTCCTCAAAGGAGACTTACCAAAAGCATTTCCTTCTCTTTGCTCCAGCTCCTTGGTCTGTCTTTGACTTGTTAGGCCGTTTCCGAGTCTCACTGATTCCCGCTGACACCATCTTGCTGGAGGCAGCCTGCATACCTAAGTGGAAAATTAAATGTTTCTGTAAAGACATAATCTGGGTTGTAGAAAGTGCTATAATCTTTTATAAGAACTTTTTTTTTGAGATAAGGTTTCTCTGTGTAGCCCTGGCTGTCCTGGAACTTGCTCTGTAGACCAGGCTGGCCTCAAATTCAGATTCCCTACCTCTGCCTTCCTGAATGGTAAAAAAAACTCTTTTAAATAGCACACAAAGTGACAAATTTCCTTATGTTTTTTTCATAATATTTAGTTATGGCTGTTCCTACCTGAGGAAATATAAATTTTTTCATGCCAAATTTTTATATGGTTATGAAATTAATCTCAAATTAAAGAATACTTCAAATAAGCATTATGATACCATAGCTGTCTGTGACAAGGTCTCAATCAGCCATGCTAGCCTCAACACACTGTTGCTGAAGATGACCCTGATCTCCTGATCCTGTCTTCACTGCCATAGTGTCAAGGTCACAGGCACTCCATCATGCCCAGCTACGACAGTACCACAGCACCTTCATTTATTTGTTTTTCAAGACAGGGTTTCTCTGTGTAGCCCTGGCTGTCCTAGAATTGCTCTGTAGACCAGGCTGGCCTCAAACTAGAGATCCACCTGCCTCTACCTCCTGAATCCTGGGATTAAAGGTGTGTGCCACCACTCTTATTTGTTTATGTTTAAGGTACAGGTTTTTCTGTGTGGTCTGGTTAGCTCAGAACTTACTGTATAGACTATGAACTCACACAGATCCATCTGCCTCTGCCTCCCACTCAGTACCCAGAACAGTATCTTCCTATCTTCCTTCCTTCCTTCATTTTTTTGGGGGAGAACAGGGTCTCTCTATTATGTAGCTCTGACTGACCTACAATGTAGACCAGGCTGACCTCAAACTCACAGAGATCCCCCTGCCTCTCCGCCTCCTGAGTGCTGGAATTAAAGGCATGTACTACCACATCCAGCTTAGAACAGGTTTCTTTTTTCCGTTTTGTTTTCAGTTTTTCCAAGACGGGGTTTCTCTGTATAACAGTACTGGCTGTACTAGAACTCACTCTGTAGACCAGGCTGGCCTTGAACTCACAGGTTCTGGGATTAAAGATATACACCACTACCGACTGTCTTTAGAACAGTATTTTAAAAACATCAATGTGTGCTGGGCATTGGTGGTGCACGCTTTTAATCCCAGCACTCGGGAGGCAGAGGCAGGTGGATCTCTATGAGTTGGAGGCTAGCCTGGTCTATAGAGCGAGTTCCAGGATAGCCTCCAAAACAATACAGAGAAACCCTGTCTCAAAAAACAAAAAAAACAAAAAAACAAAAAAAAAAAAGAAACCACCAATGTGCACCTTGAGGCTATTTTCATGCATTTGTCTTTCTTGTCTTACCACAGCCTTTTTGATGAACAGGACACTTTAAATCAACTACATTCATAACAAGCCCAGGACACTGCTCTGGATGCTTAAAAGAATATCTGAGGTTGCTGGGTGGTGGGGGCGGGGCAGCAGTGGTGCACGCCTGCCTTCAATCCCAGCACTTAGAGGCAGAGGCAAACGGATCTCTGTGAGTTCGAGACCAGCCTGGTCTACAAGAGCTAGTTCCAGGACAGTCTCTAAAGCCACAGAGAAACCCTATCTCCAAAAACAAAAACAAAACTAAAGAAAGAAAGAGAAAAGATGGACTGGAGAGATGGCTCAGCCATTAAAGGCTAAGCTAATAACCAAGAGAGAAAAGATGCTCTTCCCTGGGGCCCAAAAGTCTAAGAAATTTGGAGGTTAAGCCTGCCAGATGTTGCGTCTGTGTTGTGCTAGGTGTAGGTGTTAGCATGTGGTAAAAGGAGAAGGGTTCCAAGGCGTTCATCTTCCTCTTCCAAAGAGCTCAAGGCCACTGTCACAGAGAGTGAGTGCTGTGAAGCTTATGGCTCCGGGGCCTGCAGAGCAGAGCAATCCTCGCTCTCACCTTTGAGGACGGAATCCTCCAGACGCTCAGCCATCTCATGGCACTGCCTCTGGTAGTCGGGGCTGGTGAAGCTGTGCTTAGGCTCGGCAAGCTTTCGCTGCAGTCTCTCCAGGCGCTTTTGCTCCTTCTCAGCCTCCCGCTCAGCTTGCTGTTTTACCCACTCGGCCATCCTGGGGAAGAATGGAGACGTGACCGAGTGAATGAATCATACACAGCATTTAGATCAGTGGCAGACCACACATATGAAACTGACCCAATACTACAATGCAGATGAAAAACTTATTGCTTAATGGCCCCGTAGTCATAGTAACACTTACTCACCTGTTTATGATGATGTGTTATTAAAATAAAAGAAAACCCTCCAGCTCTGAGTAACACAAAAGTCCAGAACAGTCTCGCACATGACACAATGCTTGCTACTAACCACCACTGATTAGATAGCCTCTGTACTGTTACCATTATTGGGGTGATGGGGTGATCACAGGGATCAAACCCAGATCCTTAAGCAAACAAACGCTCTACCACCAAACTGCACTGCTATTCTGCTAGTCTCACTCATGCTCCTACTTATTAGTCAAGTTTACTTAAAGACCTGGTATCGCACACCTTTGATCCAGCAATGACAGGCAGAGGCAGATAGATCTCTGTGAGTTTGAAGCCAATGGTCTACATAGTAGTTAAAGGCCAGCCACGCTACACAGAGAGAGACCCTGTCTCAAAAAACAAAACCACAACGGACAAACAAAACTCAAGTTTACTGTGAGACTGTATGCCGTATCTCATCAACAACACTTCACATACAACAGTTCACCAATCTCTCCATTGCATCAGGTGATGGATTATAATGCCTGGGTTTACTAAAACTTCCTCTCTGATGCTTGCAAGAGGCACTCCTATTCATATAGTGACACTTCTCCAGAAAGGTGTGTCATGCTTAATGTCAACACACTGGAAGAGACAACTAACTACAAGGTGGATATCTTACGCTTTCTCATGATTGACATCTCGTAATCTCCTCCCACTGAGATCCCGGCAGGCTTCTCGATTGGTTGTCTTCTCGATCTGAGCACCAAGTGCTCGAAGCATAGACCCAAAACCTGAAATCGATACAGGTATGGATTAAGTGGTTAAGGATGCCAAGGACTGATACAAGCCAGATTAGCACAAGACTAAGACTAAACTCCACATTCTTCCATTTTCTTTTTGAAAAGGAGATGAGCATCAAGGTTTCTACCCAGGATACAAGGTACTGATCATTCTGATTAGCTTTCTGTTTTCTGCCTTTCACTTTGTATTCCTGAAATGCTGTACTGTATAGGTAGGATCAATGAAAGGCTTTAGTCAATGCCAGAGACTCCAAGATTCCTAGGTGAAGAATTATGTGATGGGACTTCTGAGGCAGCTTGGTCAGTAAAGTGAGTGCTGTACAAGCATAAGGAACTGAGTTCTGGATCCTCAGCATCCATGCAAAAGCTAGATACAAGGACATGTGCTTATAGCCCCAGCAACACAACTAGAGGATCCCCGGAGCTCACTGGCCAAACAGGCAAGTTCAGGGTCAGTAAGAAATGTCTCCACAAGGTCGGGCGTTGGTGGCGCACGCCTTTATTAATCCCAGCACTCGGGAGGCAGAGGCAGGCGGATCTCTGTGAGTTCGAGACCAGCCTGGACTACCAAGTGAGTTCCAGGACAGCCTCCAAAGCCACAGAGAAACCCTGTCTCGGAAAAAAAACCAAAAAAAAAAAAAAAAAGAAAGAAAGAAATGTCTCCACAAATAAAGTGAAGAGTATCTGAGGAAGAGTATGAGTTATTTTTTTCTCAAAAAGAATAATAAACCAAAAAGATCACCCAAAACGGAGCAAAAATGGTTTCACAAGGCAAAACAAGGCTGATATACCACAAACCAACAAGTTTGTTAATTTCAAACACACTGTTAGGAACCACAGACTTGTTACAACAAGCCACCAACATCATATCCTACCTCCTTTCCCTCCACAAAGTCTGGGCTCCAAACTGTACACAGCTCCATGCTGCACTGTGTCGCTGGCGGTAACGAGGACTCCGTTACATTTCACAAAGAAGCAGTCCACAGGAATTGCCTAGAGGTAAGATTAAGTCTTTAATGCCTTTCTGACACCAGATGAGACCTAGCTTCTTCTTCTTTTATTAATCTTGTTACAAACAGCTAACAGGTTGGATTACTATTTGTTAAGCTGAAAACAACAATGACTTCTCTGTTTGGGTGCAATTTCCACCATCACCTTCTTCCTCTCATAGGTCACCTGAGTAGCAGACCACACAGGGCTCAGATCTAGCAATGCACAAGTCTCACTCATTTCTCCTTTATAAAATGGTAAATAAAAAAAGTCATTTTAATACCAAAACTGACCCAAAGCTTAAACCTGCCAGCCATCCTGACCTGTGTAGGTAGGGAGACAGTAAAGGCAGGGGTGTATTTGTTGTTTTGTTTTTGGAGAGGTGGCACATCACCATGTAACCTATTTGAGATTCACATTTGCAATCTTCCTGCCTTGGTCTTCAGCGCAGAGATATCATCATGCCCAGTGAGGAGTTTAGGTTTTACTCTAAATAAAACTACTGGCTTGGCAAGGTGACAACGCTTTTAATCCCAGCACTTGGGAGGCAGAGGCAGGAGGATCTCTGTGAGTTCCAGGACAGCCTGGTCAGTCCACATAGTAAGTTCCAGGACAGTCAACACTACATAAAAGAGAGACCTTGTCCCTGAAATCAAAGCAAACCAACCCCCCCCCACCAATACACCAATGTCACTTAAAGCCATGTGACTGTATACAAATCACGTGAGAGGAAGTTATCAGGAAAAAGGTCAGCAGATTAACCCCGAGGACTTCAGAGTTAGGGAGAAGAGCCAGCAGCCAAGGACTAGAAAAGAGGCCAGTGGGAAGAAGAGTTGATGGTGATGTATGTATTCGACGGCCATGGCCTACTGTGTCACGTGATAAACTCAGTATGTGCTGAAAACTAAAACTGACTACTCTTCTGTTGTGATGAATACCACGACCAAAACCAACCAGGGGAGGGAAGGATTCATTTCAGTTCACATCAGATCACAGTCCATCTCTAAGGAACTCTGGCAGGAGAAGAAGCAGAAACCTCGGAGAGACGCTGCTTTCTGGCTTGCTCTCTGGCTACTCCTCCCAGGTCCACCTGTCTGGGATGGCACCACCCACAGCAGCCTTGGCTTTCCTCAGCAATTAGCAATCAAGAACATGAGTCCTGGACAATTCCACAAGTCAGCTGGACAGAGACAATCCCCCAGCTGAGAATCCCATTGGATATATCAAGTTGACAGCTGAACCTTAACTGTGCAAAGGAGGTAATTACAAATTATTTGTAGGATGGGCTGGAGAGAAAGCTCAGAGGTTAAGAGCACCAACTGCTCTTCCAGAGGACCAGGTTCAATTCCCAGCACCCACATGGCAGCTCACAACTGTCTGTAACTCCAGTTCCAGGAGACCCGACAACATGGCACATGCACCAAAGCACATAAAATAAAAATAAAGTTTTTTTACTATTTGTAGGATAAGGACAGTTCACTCACAGATGATGGCTGGAAGGCAGAAGCACCAGTGTGAAGACAACAACACTCTCTCCTCTCAGTGGAGAGAACATACAGAAGACACCACTGCAAACACAGATGTCCACCTTAAATTGTAAAGACCCACCTCACATTAATGTTTATAAACTAAAAAACCACTTTAGCATCCCTAAGTGGCATATACATGGTCTTTCCAAATTGGTTGTTTTTGTTTTTGAGACAGGGTCTCTCTCCGTAGCCCTGGCTGTTCTCAAACTCACCTACCTCTGCCTCTCCCATGTGGGATTAAAGGTGTGTACCACCAACTGGCTGCAAAACTCTGAAAGACTTCAATGTGAAGGCAGAAACTTATGTGCAAACAAAATTGCTTATTTAAAAAACAAAACAAACCAAAGCTGTATTTTCTTTTAAAAAAAAAGAGTTCTATTATTTTTAGTTATGTGTAGGTGTATTATGTCTGTCTGCATGTAGGTATGGGCATATCAGTGCAAATGCCCTCAGAGACCAGAGACATGCTGTTTTGCTTTGAAACGGGGCTCATGTTGTCCGGGCTGGCCTCAAATTCACTACAAAGAGGCTGATAACTCCCAATCCTTTTGTCTCCACCTCTCAAGTGGAGATTACAGGCATAAACCATTATGCCCAGCTGTATTTATTTCTAGGCCCTTCAACAAAAATGTCCTTAACACTTCTCATTGTCAAAATTCTATTGTTACCCGGGTGGTGGTGGCGCACACCTTTAATCCCAGCACTTGGGAGGCAGAGACAGGAGGATCTCTGTGAGTTCGAGGCCAGCCTGGTCTACAGAGCGAGTTCGAAACCCAAACAAAGTGCACAACTTTAGAAGTCCTTGACCAGTTTCATAAGTACACGACTTTCTGCCTGTTCCTTTTGTCCGCGTGTATTTATGAAACTCTCAGGAGGGCCAAGAACCTATGGTGTCAACAGAACCCGTGAGTGACTGACGAGTGACCTGATGAATCCGTGGCCTTCCCTAAACGTCCTTTGGCTAAGACCGGTTCTCTAGGTTGGGACTAACAGGGTTTCCAAATGGGTGGATAAAAAAGCATGTTTCTATTTATAATTTAGGTATAAAGAAACAGAGCCAGAGTTTCTAATCCAAGAGCCGTAATTTGGCTTTTGTTTTTTCTTACGACGTGGGGGCCACAGACTACCAGAGGACGGCCCCAATACCGATCGGTTAGTCCGCCCCCCACCTTCCGGCGACCGCGAGCCTCACCCGTTCCCGGCAGTGTCGGTAGATAACTTCGCGCACGGAGCACCTGTCCGAGGCACACGGCAGCGCCTTGCACCCGCTTCCGGGGCCGCGAACCCACGCCAGCACCGCAGCCTCCGCCATCTCGCCTTCAGACGGAGCCTCCAGCCGGTGACAAGCACTAAGCGACACCACCAGCTAGACGCATCTTGATGACGCAAGGCCTCAGCCCCCCCCAGCCCCGCCCCGCGTGCTGCCACTCAACCCCGCCTTTCCGGAGGGCAGTCACGTGGCCCGGCGTCGCGAGGCTGGTGTGGGGGAGGGGACAGGAAAGGCCTGCCGGAGGCCGATAAGACCGCGGAGCGCCGGGGCTAGGCGTTGCTAAGGGCGGTTGCCAGGGCGGGGCTCGAGGGACTGGCTATAAAGAGCCGGCTCTGGGCGCGGCGCAGCGCTTGGGCTGTGAGCGATAAGGCTGCTGGCAGTAGCTCCGCCCAGCGCCGCAGGCCCAGCGCCACTCGCGCTTGTGTAGCTATTTTTGGTTCTGGGAAGACTGTGGCCCGGCAGGCCCTGCTCCCAGATGCTGCGGGGAGAACGCGGGCCCCGTGGCGGCTTCCTCCACCCGCCCGGCCTCCCAACTCCTGGGGAACGGCCCCCAGTGGTCCCCTAACCACTGCCTCTGCCCGCGTAGTTTCCTGAAGCTGTCACCCCCTCCGTCCTTCCATCACGTTCGGCTCGTTCTCGTTTTTGCATGCTTGGCGCTCGGCGCTGTCCCCGCTTCAGCTGTGTTTTCAAAATATTTCACAGCAAATGGGCCCTTGTGAACGGCAGGGGCAGGGATGACGGTTATAGCCATGCTGCTTCCAAAAAACCTCGCTGCAACGTTCATTCTGCACCATGGAAACACTCGCGCAGATTTTACAGAGTAACCTTAAGGTTCGGGCGCTGAGGGAGGCCCTTAATATTTAATATGCGGGATGATGGTGTTTCCAAAATGCTGAACAATTTAAAGCTGCTAGTGTGAAGCTGGGAGTATTATCCGGAGGTAACCGGCTCCTGAACACAGATGCGCTGGCCCATAGAGCCATGCTCTCGGCTGCTAAAACGCAGGCAGATGGAACTAATCGCCCAGGGAAAAGCACAAAATCTGAAATCCTTTAACTCTGAGAATGAACAAAATAGGATTCTAACTCCTGTGAAGTTATAGATCTGTTGTTATTACACACAGGCAGGAGACAGGGCCTCCATGAAAATTGCGGGAGATGAAGAAAAATTACACAAAGTATGTTGTGTCGGTGGGCGGCTCATCAATATGTAAGCAGGACAAACTGGGAAGCACATGACCTTCAATCTTTTCCCATTCCATCCTTTAGCGTGTAGACCTAACTGCTTCTTTATTATTTCCACCTTTTGGAATCAGAAATAACTATTTCGAGAGTCTGGCAGCTTCTGCCGCGGCAAATAACCAGATAATGGTCAGTTTGGGGTTATGTAACATTTCCTTGTCAGGATAATGCTTTGGAAGCTGGAAGGTTCCAGAAGGATTTCCTTTTAGCAAGGCAAGTCCACATCATTTATTGCTAACATTCAATCTACTACTCCCCAAACCTAATGTCTGAATGAATTCACTTTTTAATACCTTGTTTGTATTTAAATTCCTATTACAAAAAAGGTCCAAGTAATGAGCAAGCATTTGTGATTTAAAATACGAACTAATCATTAACTTTTCAAGGACACAAACCTCTTGAGCAATCTGTTAAACACAGCGTAGATGTTACATAGATATTAGTTGGATATTTGATGAATTGCTAACAATTATTCCCAGTGTGCATCTTCAGAAACATATTTTCCACCAACAAAACATTACGCTGAGGATACAGAAATCAACTTGAATTGGTCTCTGTAAATTCATTTAAGTAATGGGAGAAAGTGAGGCACTGGAGGCTAAAGATGTAGCTGAGAACACAATGCATATTAATTGAGGAAAGATCTAGAAAGACAACTGGTTAGTTTAGGGGCTTGGAGCGATGTTGTCATATCCAGAGGCCAGTGCTTACGGCGTGAGGCCAGTCAGTGTTGTGTAAAAAGAGACTTGCTGCTGCCACTTTCCCAATCTCATGGTGTCAGATGAAGAAATGACAGGAAGGCACGTGTGTGGCTGTGACAAGCTAATGGTGACTGTGACAAGCTAATGGTGGGGGGGGGGGCAGCTGTGCTCCTAGGACTGCACATTTGGTGCTCTTCCAGAGAAGCCACACGGGCTGTGTTCCCACCTCTGTCCCCAAAAGAAGGACTCCAGCTGTGCATCTGCTTTTTGAGGACTGGTTCAGCAGCCACCAGAGGGACATGATGAGAGCATCCTGAGGCAATGTGGAATGATTGTTCACCGCCAGGAAATGACAGCACAAGACAGGCGATGTTTGTGTGGCAACCCATGACAGGGGCTTGATTGAGCCAAATGTCATGCTGTTCTGTGAGGGCAGGAAGCAGAGCTGGGTACTGGCACTTTCCACAAACAACAGCAAGACTCCTCAACCGGTGACTTTCCAGGTTCCCTCCATGTGTGACATGCCAGGCACTCTTCTGTGCTTTCAGCCATGTTCAGGCTCAGTGGAAAGGAAAAGCTATTAATATTATTTTCGTGACAAAGGACAATGGGACAAGCTGACTCCTCTAGTGCCACCAACACAAAACTGCCATCAACTCCCACATGGGCAAGTGTTGTCTTACAGGACAGCTTCAGCCCTAGGAACAATAAGGTGAGCGCCTGGGATGGAAAAACAGCCTCTGGGGAAGAGCCTAGGAGTCCACACTGGAGGTGCATGTGTGGGAGGCGGAGCCTGGAGCAAGCTCCAAGATGTTTGGCTGCCAGGGAAAGCAAAACTCCACTCTCCTTCTCTTATTGGATAGAAAATCACAGGAAGCATCCAGGGCGAGGTGGAAACAGGGGTAGAAAAGGCTGTGTTTAGACACTGATGCTGCGGAAAAGGAGGGCAGAAAAAGCAGCAGAGCAGCGATGAAAACTGGACCCACAGCCAATGCTGAATCTAGAAGCCCAAGCCTACTTCTTTGTACTGACAACAAGCACTTCCTTCATAGTGGACACCATAGATAAATCCGGTCCCTCCTGTAGCCAAAAAACGTCACCGGAGTCTGCATTGTACCAGAAACACTAGCTTACAACTATTCTTTACCTTTGTTCTCACCATCAAGCAATTTGTTTCATTGAGAAATCCGAAGGCAGGCAGGCTTGGGAAACCGCTCATTGAGGCAGGATCCTTGCACCCAAGTTCAAGCCCCTGAACTCACATTGTGGAGAGACTTCTTGACAACTTCAAGTTGTCCTCTGACCTACACATACACACATACACACACACACACACACACACACACACACACTATGCCCAAGTGTGCACATAGACACAAGTTAATGTAAAAATTTGCCTTTAATTCCAGCATTCAGGAGGCAGAGGCAGGCACATCTCTGTGAGTTCAAGGCCAACCTGGTCTACAGAGCAAGTGCCAGGACAACCTCCAAAACAATACAGTGAAACCCTGTCTTAAAAAAAAAAAAAGAAGGAAAGAAAGAAAGAAATTTGCCGGGTGTTGGTGGTGCACGCCTTTAATCCCAGCACTCAGGAGGTGGAGGCAAGTGGATCTCTGAGTTCAAGACCAGCCTGGTCTACAGATCAAGTTCCAAGATAGGCTCCAAAGCTACAGAGAAATCCTGTCTTGAAAAACAACAACAACAACAACAAAGGAAGCCTTATTTTTGACTCACAGCTCTAATCCAAGGTAATGAGAGTCTACAGTAAGAGAAGAGTTCCAGCCACACTGGTGTTTAAAGCGTGGCCCAATAATCCGTTAATCTCACAGACGGATTAATCCATTCATTTATGCAGAGTCCTAATCACCTGTGAAAGGTCCCACCTCCTAATGTCTCCTCATGCAGATTACAGTCTAACGTGTGCTTTGGGAGCCTGAGCCATATCCAAACCTTCGTACTCTGTCTTCCTCCGGAAGGACCTAGAGCCCTTTCTGTACACCTTTTCTTACTCTGCCGAGGAAGAGGATGTGTGTCTGCTTTCTGGGCTCTGGCCCTCAGCTCTTCTACTTACCAGGTGTTTCCCTGAGCTGCCAGGCTCCCCTGGCTGGGTCAGGTAGGATTGCTGAGTCCAGGGGAAGATTTCCTCCCAATCAGGTGGCCAGGCAGTCACATTCCGGTCTGCTGGCCCAGGGTGCTTCAAACGGTGGTGTGGGAAGCTCCTTGTCTGGCAGGAGCACCTGTATCAGAGTGGAATTCTGGTTCCAGCAAGAGAGAAAATACCGGTAGAAAACTGCGATATTAATGGATGACTCTTGTGGAAGAGGGGAAAGGGAGAGAATTTCTCATTTTCAGTACAGAATCTGGGATGCAATGACAAGACAAAGGCAGCTAAAACAAAAACAAAAGCAAGGCTCCACTCTACCCCACAGTGGCCCTGATCTCAGTAAAATAGTCCAGGTTGTTGTCAAACTCCCAGCAATTCTACTTCAGCCTCTGACGTGTTAGGATTACAAGTGTATGTAACCATGGCCAGCTAAGAATAGCAATTTACAGTAAGATTAAAGCACACTTGTAACAGTGGAAAGCATACTCCCAATTTCCCCCAAATAGCAATGTTCCCCACCATGGGCCAACGGTTGTCAAGTTTCAAGGCCATGCAGGGGTCAAAATAGACACTGGGCTGGTCCGCCACCGACTCTGATTCTGTTCTTCTGACCCTGTCCCTGGTGATGCTGCTGCTGGCCAGTGTTGAGATTCAGAGGAGATGTTCAAAACCAGGAGCGAGGACTGTGAGAAACCCTTGAAACTCTCCCGGTGCTTTCTGAAGAACTATAAACACCCAGGGACTAGAGAGATGGTTCAGTCAGGAAAGGTGCCTGTGCAAGCAAGAGACTTGAGTACACATCCCTAAACCCACCTAAAGAAAGTAAACAGGGTCTTGTGCACCTGAAAGCCATAGCCCAAGGGAGGCAAGAGACTGACAGATCCTGGGGCTCACTGGCTGCTGGTCTAGGCAATCAGTGAGTACTGGATCCAGTGAAAGACACTGCCTTATCAATTGAGAAAAGTTGATCTCTGCCTCCACACACACCAGCATGTACACTATCACACACACACACACACACACAGCTAGAATTAGAAAG